CGCCGAAACAATGGTGGTCTTATCTGTATTGTTTTACCGCCATTAATTTCCAATTTACAGAAAATATCTTCACCTGGAATCGAACCCAGATTTTAGGGGATGTGCCCTTTATTTCTATAATCTTCTCTTCGTAAAGGATAGCTTTGACCTTCGCGCCGTTATTATATTGCTCTTAGTTTCCGAGCTACAGACCACACCATCACCGGGAATCAAACTCAGGACACTTTATCCCGAGTTTTCACTTTCCTCTTCTCTCCCTGATGTAAAGGAATAAATATGCCAAGTTTGGTGAAAATAGGTAAATCCGTGTTCAACACAAATTTAAACATACGTAAAATTACAACTTATCACATAAGATAGATTTTTAAGAAGCAGGATGTGAGTGTGAGTGTGTGGTTCAGTGGTTCAGGACAGAGACTAGCAGCGCGCTCCTGTGGACAAATGAACAATTATCAGCTTCTACGTAAAGACAACAATGAAGGAAGTCTCAACAATACAGAGCGGGAACATTAATCTGTTTACCGTTATTTCCTTCGTTACGCTCATTAGGAACAAATACAGGAGATAAAATGGACGTGCTCATGACATTATGGAAGAATTTATTCGATTTTTGTTGTTGCAAATGGCGTGACGATTTTTATATCGATAGAAATAATGCAAGCAGTTCAAGAAGCTGGATAATCTACGAAAAGCTGGTGAGTAATAAGCCAATAATCTCAATAAATGTGTAAGAAACGTTTTCCCATGGCGTTACTGGCCGTGTATTATATCTCCTAAAATTCTGCATGTAAGTAACACCAGTAACAATTCGAAATCATATCAAGAAACAAAGTAAACGCAGACTAAATTGCAGGAATATTTGCGTCCATTCAGTTCAGAATCGTGTATTCCCGTTCTCTACCTAAAAACGTGAAGATGAAAACTCAAAACTGCGGCATTGCATTGTTGTTTTAAAAATTTATCTTAGAAACTTCGAGGGAAGAATAAAGAACGAGGGTTTTGCAGAAAAGGGTATTTGAAATGTATTCTGTAGTTTATTTAACATCGCTTTCAATATCTCGAGACTATATAGTGTCGAATGAATAATGAACTGAAGAGGACATGGAAGGAAGCTGTTGTCAGATACTATCTCCTCCATATCAACAATGTGTAAATATGAACCGACAATGGTCAGCTTTTATATGAACTCCTGCGTGCATTGTTATGCTATCTAAGAAACTAATTGTTACGTCATCCGTTTACTCGGCATTGTTGTGTTTCATTACTCTTTCGTTATTGCGGAAAGAGCTGAGCTGTTAATCGCTTGTAGAAGTGCGTCGTAGAGTAGATAATTTTGTGCTGGTAAAAACGTTTTAGAATATCGCAAGTACTTATCTTATATAAGAATTATTAAGAAATCTGTGATACTGCTCCCAAATTTACAGAGATGTTTTCAATTATGATCACAGAAGGTCGTAATACTGGCAGGAGATTTTAACATTAATTTAAAGGAGGAGGAAAATCAAAGCTTTCTCACATTTATGGAGGAAACGTTTGGCTTAATGTTGATGTCAAATCCTCAATGTAGTACTACTAGATCAAGATCCTGTATAGATATGGTGTTTGCACGAAATGTCGATACTCTAAAGTGCACAAATTTTATAACATATTTCAGCTACCACAGACCCATCTTAAGCGTAACTAATTCAAGTTAAATAAGCAATGTCTTAATCAAACTATTTACCCAATTGTAAAGCATGTATAAAGGGAATATTTAGAATAAAGCTAATATATAAACTTCCTTTCGTTGTATTTATTTCTTAAATATAATTTAAATACAAAGACGTATTTACGTCAGATTCTCCGGAACCGTAGTTCCACTGTCGTTATTTTTCTGGCGTTACAGATAATTTATAAAACCTGTCTTATCGTCACGGAGAGAAATCGGAAGTGTTTCGCTTGTGTCTTCACCAATTCCCCATGTCGCGTATTTTCCAGAGCCCCTCTGCTGTGTCAGCCTCCGAGACAGACGGAGATGATTTCAAGGCGCAGGCGGTAGAAGATAAGGGCTTCTTCTTCGGAGACGACGTTTTCAACTACCAAGAAGCTCAAGGACACAGGTACGTATATGAACTGCAGTTTCACGTGAATTTAAATTCCTGAGACACATCAACTGCTTAGGTCATTTTCTCACATATAATGAAGGAGCACTGTACAAGATATATGGTAAACGAGATCGTTTCAGAAGTTTCCTGGTGGATTTGTAAACATTTCGTATTTTGAACACGCTACTCGTCGGCAATCCGGTAAAGAGTCCGCTTCTTTTGAGAATGATATTCATCCCTGAGCGAGCGTTTGTTTTCCAGTCACTTTCTTCACACACAAGGAATTACTTGCCCTGCAGAGAGTACTCTTGTTAAGCCAACGCCGTGTGTCGTTTGATTGCAGGACGAGCGAAATCTTCGAAGGACCTATATCTGACCCGTCAGATCTTGATCAAGACGACTGGGTCCACTGTGGAGATGGTTCAATCCCCGTATGTACACCAGACGAAACGTTTAATGGGGAAATACAAGATGACGGAAATAAATGGTTTAAGGATTTGAGAGCATCAGCAAAACATATAAAGATACTGAGGACACTAAGAAGCGAGGGGGAGAACCGGCCAAGTCTGCCCACAACTGTTAAGGACATTGAAGAGATTAAGCCTATAAATGAGCACCGAGAGATGGACAATATATACCAGCTATGTCCTGCGTGTTTGTTTGTTTGTTTGTTGACATTGTGTAGTGTGTTTGCGATAACACGTGTTTTCACATGTGTAACTAAAAGAAATAACTTAAATTTAAGGCAAAATATACCACACAATATTTTATTCACTTCTTTTGTTGATTATTTCTATTGTTATTTGTTACTTAAGCTACTTAATTGGTTAGTTCCTTGGGTATTTATTTACTTAGTTGTTTAGATACTTATGTAGTTAGTTACTTTAATACTTGAGTTAACTGGACCAGTCCATCGAAGACTGGATTCCAAAGTAAGCTACAGAGAATGTCTTGAGAAGCTAATATTACGTTCAGTTTGTCAAGAAATAGCCCACATTTTATGGAACCAAAAGGTTCTCTTTTTCTCTTCTGTGGCTTCACGGTTCTTTTAGTTTAACCTTAGCCTTCCTCTTGATAGCCGTCCACTCATTCCTATCTTATGATTTTATTCTCCATCGCCGTGCTCAAAAGATCCCGTCCCCTTCTTCTATTCTGAGCCAGATGAATCCAATACACGTCCTCAAATTCTGTTTCTCACGGAGCCTTCCTAGTACTTTCAACAGTCTACCACCAAGTCTCACAAGTCTTGTAAATAAGGAGCAATTTAAGGTAGCGTTAAAAAGATACTTAATTACACACTCCTTATACTCTGTCAAGGAATTTATGTTGTTTACAAATAAGTGATAAATTTTCTTCTGTGTGTAATTGGGTAGATCATTTCTTTAGGTGAGCCCTTTGTTTATATTATGTGAAATTTATATAATAATATATATTGTACTTTACAATATGTATTGTATTATTATTATTATTATTATGACTTTTTCCACATCCTATTGTCATCTGACTATCGTATGGATCCATGTAATGTAATAAATTATGTATGTATCCTCAAATCTACGCCTAACTCTTCCGAGTGATTTCTTCCTTTCAGGTTTACCAGTCAATCTTTCAATGTAAATAGTAATTATTCGTGACTTTTTACAACTTTTATTACTACATTGTAATACGTAACGCTCAAACAAACATTAAGTCACGGAGGATAGCTCCATGGGGCTTAAACGCGTCTGACACAAGAAATGCTTCTTAAGTATTGAAAGTGAATGGAAAGTTATGTTATGGAAAACCACGTCTGTGTTGTGTTTTGGGAGGGGGCGGGAGAGATTGTATAAATTGGATAGCAGTTAATCATTTTATCGACTCAGTGGACGGCGGTGACTGTTACCGCCAAATCAATTTGTAGTAGTTCCATCCAAGCTTGGATAGATGGAAGTACAGTATGAGCGTAATATCTTACGCGGACCAAAAAGCAAACTAACGACATCTTCTGACAAAGAGTTGCCGATATGTGACTATGTTTTAGTGATCTGTGATTACCATTAAGATCATCGTTGTCGTGGGATATATTTAACAATACAACTGACGCTACTTTTGCATTTATTTGCACATTTGTAAGTAATAATCCATAACCCCTGCTGTTTTGTTAATGGTCCAGAAAAATCGTGGCGGCTTTGTGATTGGTTCAAATTGCTGATCACAGTGTAAACGTATTTGAACCACCCATTTTCTAACCCTACTTGTGATATGTACACGCCTCATTTCAGTCCTGGAGATGGAGGCAAAACAATTGTATAGAGCTTAAGACTATAATGCGCAACATCCAAGAAGATCACCATTTGTACTCACATCATCAAGAACATTTTAAATCCGTGGCTTTTTTGTGATTATGCTTCTCAAATTAATTTTCCTTATATTACCAGAGGCTGTTCGAAATATTTACTAGCAATCAGCATAGACTCAAAATTCCGATGCAATATACGTACACTCATAGGTACGGTTTCCACCAGTTTGTCTTTTCCGTAGTCGGCAGAATGTTTTGCAGTCTGTTATATGCTACATGTGGTCAGTGTAATTTGTATGATACTTCTGCCCCTATTGTCATACAGAAATTAAAAGTGTATGTCTCCTGTTGCAATTATAGAGACTATGTATTATAATATTTGGAGCTCCATTTATTCTTGTATCTTTATTTACAATTAAAGTGTAATTCTGTTCAATATTTGTTTGGCGTTATTTGCAGTTACAGGGTCTGGTATTTTAAACCATTATACTTCTGATTTTAAATTTATATGATTGATTCCAAAATTACGGAAAAGTTTTCACGTTTTTCGAGTCTGTCACATATTTTCTTAGTAGTTTTATGAAATGGCCTGCTATCTGTTGGTAGGAATTGGGATACATTGCCTTAGCTATCTTAAAATGAATGTGGGTTTCGTACGTCAATTGTTTTCTGGTGTGGGCATAGGTAGCGGTAGCGGCAGCGGCAGCAAAGGATATTTACGTTTCCACGTTTGCTTTATACTTTATATTAATTTCAAACATTTGTTTTCAAAATAGAAAGTTTATAACTGGGTACGTTGTAAATAGTAATTTAATATTATCCTTTCTTTGATGAAATGTAACTTCTACCGAAAGTTAAACGCTGTAGTGATGCTGATGCAACCGAAAATTGTGTGGGGCATGATGTTTTATTTCAGTATAAAAACAGTGTCTTTTATAGTGTTAGTGCAAAACATTTTCTGGTACCGTCAGCCGTATTAAAATTAGCCTAAAGAAAATTTTGTTCGCAAGATCAAGTAAATCAATTAAGCTCAACCAAAGTATTAAATCAAAGCAATCGTTATTTGTAACATTTGCCCCTTTCACACCTTAACTCGCAGTACTGCCCAGTTTTTTCCTTTATCTTGATTAGTGCAAGGAGTTTGTAGAAATGTTCATTCCATGTTTGAATAAATGTTTGTAGGGCATGTTTCAGATCTTAACCTTTTGTTGTTACAGCTTCTAATCATGTGGCTCTGGCCGTATCTACATGTGAACTGTTTTTACATACCATATAATTTTAGTTTATTGAATGTGTATATAACGTGTACCGTATTGGTATTGTAACGTGGTGGAAATGGTGTTCTTTCAAGATCTCTTTATTGATTCACTTTACAGTTGATGACATATTAGTATTTCTCAGAAACTGGATTTGTTTCTGTAATTTTATATTTGTATTAGAAATAGTTATTGTATTTGTTCTGTGACATGTTCTGCATTCTTGACTTAGGCCTGTGAGGGATCTATAGGATGTAAATAAATTGTGTTCTATTCTATTTATCATTAGAAATCAATCAGTATTTACATTCAAATTTGGCAAGTGATACTAGCATGCGTACCTGCAGACATATACTGAGATAGTACTTTGAAACAGGCTTTTAAATATAACTTTATAGTTACATTTACAACTTTCAAACTTTTTATATCTGAGTTATTCTTTTTTGATGTGTATGTGCTTTCCCCCCACCAAGTCCTCATTTGTTAATAGCATTAGGGAAAACAGTGTATATGATAACTCTTGTATGGATTTTTCAGAAATGGCTGCTCAGTTCTTCAACAGAGTTGGACAGATTGGGTTAGGAGTAGCTCTAGTTGGTGGAGTTGTAAACTCTGCATTGTACAATGGTAAGGGTTCAATACATTGTCTCTTTTTAAGTACAGTTGAACTTGGTTATAGTGACACCTTGGCTATAGCATGTAATATTGAGTGATACTAATTAAGTCTCTGTGAAGCACTGACTTATGCCACCGTTATGTAAAACAGACTTGGAGTTTGTTCTGTCATTAGTGATTAGGATTAGAAAGTTGCTACCATTCTGCCACTAAACTGGTGTCTTCAATTTCAGTATTTTGTGTTTCCAATTGCATTCCACTGACAGCAACATCTTGTTTTCATAAAAATATCTGACTTCCAGGCGATTATCAGCAAAATCTTGGCCACAGTTTTATAATCTTTGAGGGAAGAACAACGTTGTTTACATAAGCCAGCTGTGACAATTGGAAACTGGATCATAATTTATTACAACACTATCAACAAGACTTTAGCATTTATTACAGCATTATGAGTTTCATGCTTTAGGTTTAATGTTTTTTTTCCTTTTTTCTAGTTTGTTTTAATATGGTGTAAATGTTTTGAGGGATTAGCTTTGAATTGATTGATCTTGATCAGTATATAAATAGGTGCAGCTGGGTGAATAGTTACAGTGCTTTACAGCAAAAGAGCAATATTAATTTTGTAAGGTAAAGAATTGGATCTTAATAATTACTACATAAATACAGATCTGTTTTGTTTATTATCTGCTAGTTAATTCTGCAAAAAAGCAAGACTTCATCTTTTTTTCAGATGTCGCATACATATTCACTTGACAAACACGGTAGTGTATATTGATTAGAGATTTGATCTATAATGTTTTCTCATGATGGGAAATTGTGCTGCCATTCTGTGTGCAGTAGTGTAGCAGTGGTCTTTGTACCTTTCGTCTATCGCAGACTGCTTGCTACAGTTTGATCTTAACATTAGTTCTTTGACATATTTCTGTCAGTAAAATTGCTTTAGTTTATAGCATGCATGAACTAAATAACTAACTAGATGGCTTATGGAATTAACCAAACCCCTCCACCGGACCCTGTCCTGGACCAACAAAATCGAATCGCCTTCAACTCCTATCTCCCATCCGTGTGTAATAGCGTGCATGAAACGGTTAATAAATGTGTACACAGTTTTAGAGACCACTTTGGAGGTCTGTGTGTACATGATAGGATAATATTGCAGTTGATTGACCATCTAAGCTACTGTGAGTTTCTGTAGAAGAACTCTGCTTTGTTAAGTTAGATGGTAACATTACATGTCATCTAATGACCATTTTTGTTACTTTTTTTTTTACATTGCATCATACGACTAAAGAACTGACAGTGTTCATGGCATTTCAGAATTTGATATTGATACTTCCTACCCAATAATTTCTTCCTTCCAGAAGTCCTTTGAAATATGTCTTTTGTTGTGGTGAAATATTACACCTCTTGTCCTTAATGAGCGTGTAATTACGGTTTATGTTCACAGTTGATGGAGGCCATCGGGCTGTAATATTTGATAGATTTGCTGGAGTTAAAAACCAAGTGGTTGGAGAAGGTACACACTTCTTTATTCCTTGGGTACAACGTCCAATCATGTTTGATATTAGATCGAGACCAAGGAATGTGCCCGTTGTTACAGGAAGCAAAGGTAATGAAATACTGCTTGTGTCATTCAGGACTCGTAAGCCCCCTAATTCTGACTTTGAATATGTCTCCCTTTAATGTGTAGATCTTGCATTTTCTTACACAAATGTGAGTGTAACTGCATGACTGTTTCCCATGGTTTGCGCATTCAGATTTGTTATTTCTCACAAATCTGTTACGGTTAGTTAAACCTTAATTTCTGTAGAGCCATCAGCTACTGACTGCTGTCAAGGATAAATTAACTACAGGTTATGGTTTGATGTACAGCAAAAATAACTTTTGAATTATTTCACTGAATAGTGTGAGAGCCATAGAAGTAGGAATCTGTTTTCTTGCTGTGAATGTGTTAACAGTTCTCTTATCTCATGCAGAGTGTAATGTGATAATCTAAATGTCTTGAAATCAGTAAAAAAATTACTTTATTTTCTTTCTTAGTAATTCAGATGGATAAATTAAATGTAATACCGTGTTTTGAGAAATGTTTTAGACTTGCAAAATGTCAACATCACACTTCGTATTCTCTTTCGACCTATTCCCGATCAGCTGCCACGCATCTACACGATCCTCGGTGTCGACTACGATGAAAGAGTCCTGCCTTCAATTACCACAGAAGTGTTAAAGGCTGTTGTTGTAAGTAGTTTGTGGTTTGAGTTAACTATCTGTTAGGATGTCAGTGTTTTGATGGGTCGTGACACTGTGTGGATAAGTCCACATAGTGTCATGACCCAGACCAGAGTAAGGTAAGACAGACATCAATATTGATTTCTTTATTGCTGTAAGAGCCTCAAATCTCACGTACCTGTTAGTAATTGCAGTGATACAGAAATTGGCATGGATCTTAAATAATTAAAGTTAAATAAACACACATTAAGTATTTTTTTTAAAATTATGTCTAGGTGGCAGCATTGATGGGATGGCTTGTGGTGAAGATGATAGCAAATAATACATATTTGACATCAACTGAAAATTTTCAGAACTGTGTGATTCAATGAAACATGTGGGCAGATTATTGTGAAATTAGGGGGAAAGTCATCTTTCACCAAAACATTTTGAAAATACTGTAGAAGTTTAGAATGAATATTTGTAAGCTCTTCAGCAGATTTGGTACACAGTCAAATTTTAGGATATGTACATTGGAAAAGAGAGACTCCGCCGTATTTCTCTCTGTTCCAGTGTGATTTCATGTGATCAATAAAACAAGATTCTAAAATATTTACATTTTACAGAGTCATAATGCACCAATACAGGACAGAGAAGATTTCAGTCACAAAAGATTATTGAAAATCATATGAATATTTAAAATTCTAAATTTTTCTAAATCTTTCACCATTGCATTGTTAAAAAAACTGAAAGATTTGGAATAAAAATTTAAGAACACATTGACAGATTTAGTACACATTAAACATGAGTATGTACCTTCAAAAACAGATCACAAATCCCACACGTGGATGTAATTCGTAGGAACTGGGTATAAAATATTGTGACGTAGGTTGGTTATTACGCCCTTTATTGTCAACCCTTGATTTTTTTGGAGTCTGCTGCCTTGAATACGATCTGACACTTTTCACACGCTTAACACTTCGCTCGGTCTACTGCCGCTTTGCCCTCCGGTTCACACACAACTCGCTAGCTCGCACTTGACCGCTCCCAGGAATGCGACTTTCTTTATAATCCCCCCCCAAAGATGTTGAAAGATCCAGACCAGACAGCCTGGAAGTCAGGTGGCCCCTCCCCTCCAGCGCGAGTCTGCAGCACTGACGGCGAAACATCACAATATATATGGTCAACAACTTAACATCACTGAAACTGAAGCTTTAAAAGGCCAATCGTAAAAGGTTATTATTTGTAAGATTTGAGGTTTTTACAGCGGTGAGTATGAATATTTCTGTCTTCTGGGTTCTTGCGCTGTGTAGTCTGGTCGATGTTAACGAACGTTTCAGAGGTCATACTGCCTCTGTCATCAGGGCGATGAATGAATGACCTCAGAAACGTTGGTTAACATCGACCAGACTACACAGCGCAAGAACCCAGAAGACAGAAATCTTCAGGTTATTATTTGTCCAGCCAGTTTTTCTTTAAATTTAGATAATCCTATCTATTTAATGGTTATTTGCGCTTTGTTATAGGCTCAATTTGATGCTGGTGAGCTGATTACACAGCGAGAAATTGTGTCTCAGAAGGTCAGTGAGGATCTGATGGACCGAGCTTCGCAGTTTGGTGTTATCTTGGATGACATATCTATAGTAAGTTCATTTATGCATTCCAAATGTATGTCACTGAGTTGTAAATATTTGAGCTTCATATTTGGATGGTCTTGGGTTCAAATCTTGGCGCCTAAGACTAGCAAAATATCTTGTTTAAACAGAATCAAAAGAATTGGAAAGCTGAGAGACAAAATTTGCTACACTTCCATGTTTTATTGGACATCACTGTCACAGACACTATGAGACATGCTGCAAGATGAACAGTGACAGTTTGAACATTATCTGTCATGTAAATTGGATGTTAATAACATATTTAGAATATGTTGCATTATGCACCACAGTGTAGAGACGGTGGTGCAGATGTGCAGGAATGAAGCAAGATTATTCTCAAGCAAACACTTGGAATTACGCTATCTTGATTAATTGCTGTAAGGGTTGGTGAGATATGGTTTGAAGCTTTCACGATTACTAAACTCATCTGCATTGAATACGTGAAGCGACCGATGTTTTGGGAATTATCATCATCCCCATCATCAGGGTTCTGATGTCTGATGTCACTTCATGTAACCAGTCGAAGTGGCCGAGTGCCCAAGAAGATTTTATTGATTAATTTCATTCAGTACAATTCTTGAGAAACTTTTAGATGCTCCTGTAGTCAAGAATTACCTATCTTTCATGGAACCAGAAGTTTCATGTAAGATTTCACTTAATTTTAAAATGTGTTTTGTGTGTTCTTCTTACAGACACATTTAACATTCGGCAAAGAGTTCACGCAAGCCGTGGAGTTGAAACAGGTTGCTCAGCAAGATGCGGAGAAGGCTCGTTTCCTTGTAGAAAAGGTAACGACCATGAGAGGAGGATCACAATTTTATTTTGAAAACTAACAAACCACTGGAACTAGGCATGTGACATTTAGTTTAGAGATGGATTATAAACATTCCTACAGATTCTGTTTGAAATATTATTTAATCAACAATAACAAATGCAGAGATTGCGCTAATATTTGATGTTACGGCAGGAAAATTCAGGATATGCAGAATCTGTAATCTGTAGCTAAATAGAAAGTTCTCGTCTAAAAGGAAATAAAGATAACGACAATCTGTAAAATTTATAATTGCAGATGAAAAGAGTTATATAAGATTTGATCATGTCACATCCGCACATGACCCTAGAATACTAACTAAGGTCTAAATTGCATTACCTAACTGTGACATTAAACCCAAGATTTGTTGGACTAGAGGTTTATGCAGTTGGAATCTAGAATTTGTGTTCTTCCTGGAATTCTTTGTTATACATTGTAAATATACTGTGTAATAATGCTTTGTGGCAAAAGGTGGAGGGCAAAACGTAGGAAGTTTTACCATAAAAGTGCCATACATTGTTATTTGAGGGTTGGCCTCAATTGTATTTTGTGTTGTTCAAATCGTCTTTAATATCGGTCCATAGTTCTATAACCAGTGAGAGTCAGACTCATGTCCATATGACATTTGCGACTGGGAATGGCATCAGGAATAAGATCCCGAATTTATTTAGTTATAGTTTATTTAACGACACTTTCTCAGCAGCTCGGACTATATAGCGTCGAATGAGATCCTGAAGTATTGACATAAAGTCAACATAAAGTATGTGTTCACAGTATTTTTCATCCAAATTCCCATTCTTCGGTCAGTTGAGTAACCTGACCACACGACGGTCTAAGAGTAATAACCCGTTTCAGGCCTAGGAAGTCCATACAGCATCCATGTGTACAGTAGCCAACATTTGACTGGGATCTGTTCCTTAATCTGCAGTTGTTGCAGAACAGATTTTTAGTGGTAACGTCAAATTCTCGTTCCCAAAACTTCTGCGTGTCTGTGTAAAGAGAGATTTTGTGTTTAAAGTAAAATGTTGGTATTTCAGGCTGAACAGCAGAAGAAGGCGGCAGTGATCACGGCAGAGGGCGATGCGCAGGCTGCACTTCTACTTGCCAAGTCATTCGGAGCCTCTGGCGAAGGTCTCGTGGAACTGAGAAGAATCGAAGCCGCCGAAGACATCGCATACCAGCTTTCGCGATCTCGACACGTGGCGTACCTACCTCCGGGGCAAAACATATTACTCAGCTTGCCCGCGCAGTAAACTTATTACTGCTATAGCCCAACCTTGCTGTCAAGTTTCCTTCAGGCTATAGGACTCGTTACGTAAAAGGCAAATGTCCGCAGGCGATAACGTCACGTGCGTCTCGTAGGCCGTGAGGAGTCAGTTCTTCGCTGAATTCATTGATTTTGAAACATGTTACTGAGACTTTTTTTTCTGCAAGGGCATTTGCGAAGGAAATGAATAGATTTTTGAATATGTTTTAGTGTCTCTGGCTGATAATTCAGTGATGCACGTGACTGATCAAACGCTGTCCTTTGACATTGTTAAAGACGACCTAAGAATACACGTGTGCATTTCATATTGGTCTTGGAAAGTAATTTGTTTAATGCATAAAATTCATATCCGTAGATGTTCGGACCGTTAAATTAGAGAGAAAGGAATATGTTTGAATAAATTGCCAGCAAGGTTTGTGGTATGGGGTTGAGACTAATGCAGGTGGACACTGTAGTCGTTATTAGCGACAGCAAGGGACAGTGAAGTTACTTCATTCATTCAGTTAATTGCCAAAAGTAAATCTCGGTCTTATCAGTGTAAATGTGTGTATGGCAAAAGATAGTGTGAACGCTGCTCAGTGGTTAACTTCTCTGAACATTTATCCTTTTGTTCTTTTTATATGGAAATATGGAAAGAAGATCGAGACTTACGTGTGTACCCGAATGCAGCTGAGAAATAAAATGCCTTATATAATTGAATGGGTCCTGTAACTCACTCCAATGTCTCGTTGAGATGAGTAAATGAAACACAGAAATTGTCGTCACGTAATTGAAGAGGTCGAAGATTTCTGTGTTCCAGGTTGTTGCGCTGTGTAGTCTGGTCGATGTTA